GGACAAGCGCCGTTCCTTCACTTGACCCCAGTCGCTCTCGCCCTCGTAACACTGCTCTTTATTGAGGTCACATGAATATACACAGGTGCATTAACATATGACGTCTTACACACACGGTACTCTTTGTTTCTGTGTGTGTGTGTGTGTGTGACCCCACAAAGACGTCCCTAAACCTGCTGGTCTGGAAGTCCAGCAGTTCATCTAAACAGGCACTTAGAGTAAAACAGGTATAGATGTGTTTGCTGTACCATATATCAACAAAGAGATACGACCTCTCCGTGACCCCAGGATGTGAGTGTGTATGCCAGAACAAAGTCTTTGCAGAGTCCTGAGGATCAAACCTCTGCCAACATGACATTGATGATAAAACTAAGCATATACGATTAGATATTTCTAAGCATAGTTGACAATCCAATAATATAAACCTGACAATGGTGATAAACCCCAGGTAAGTGAAGCACCTTCATAGAAACCCGGCTGACTGAGGTCACCTGAGGTCACCTGAGGTCAGGGCTGGGTGAGGAAACGTTTCAATCAGCTGCCGTGTGCCTGACACTGCGCTGCTACACTTGTTTCTGCTTTGAACACAAAAAACCTGAATGAATTGAAATGTTTGATTTTAACCATCAGCTGTTTCAACTGTGCAGGTGTCTGTGCTGCTTCCTGCGTGTAGCTCCGCCCCCTCTCACCTGGACTCCGTGTTGAACAACTTCAGCAGCTTCTACCTGATCAGGAAGCTGCCGGTGTACGAGCTGTTGGACCGACACTTCCTGGAGACGGTCGTGTACCACGGTAACACACCTGTTTGAAAAGACGCCTCTAAGGTTCCCAAACAGCCTATCAGAGTCAGTTCCATAATTTCACCATGGCAACGGGTGAATAAAGAGCACAGGCTCCATGTTAATCCAGAGGAGCAGAAATATGAATCACGTCATCGTCACAAAGTTATTGTGACGTCGTCTTTGAGCTTCTGCTCTGAACTTTATATCTAATGACATTAGTTACCCATAGCAACAGACTCGCATACACAGGCCCTCACCTGTCCACGCCCTCACCTGTCCACGCCCTCACCTGTCCACGCCCTCACCTGTCCCCCTGTGTTTCAGGTGCCGTGTTCGGTCTGTCCTACAGGACTCGCATCGATGAAGATAACTGCGTCGCACTGATGCCAAACGGTAACGTTTCTTTCTTTTTTTGTAAACTAACCTTTATTTGCAACATTCCCATTAACAGTGAACGCCATCGTCACGGGGCGAAACAGCAAGCTGAGACGGTGGGCGCGCTCACCCGGACACATGCTCCTCGTTCAGAGGAAAACGACAAACTTTGTCTTTACATTCGTAAATGTCTGTCTGCGAAGGCGGCGCGTTACAGGAAGTGACATCAGACCGAAGCGGCAGGTTTTTCACATCTTTGTGGCGACAGATCCAGAGGAG